GACGTATTTTCCAGTCGGTGAGACTGGCATGCGAGGAAGCCTAAGTTTAATAATTGTAAGCAGCATGCCGCGTTCCGCGTTACTTAGAAAAAGAAAAAGAAAAAGAAAAAGAAAAAAACCGAAAAAAAAAAAAAACGCCGCGAGAAATGATATTAAATTTGAGGATTTGGTGCGTGTACGTGATGGTTGTGTGTACATGTGTACGTGAACGCGTGTATTGTTGTTGAATCCTGGTGTCCACGATGCCAAAGATATAAGTCATGTAATAAAGTTGTGGCTAAGGTACTATGGTAACGTCAATGATAACGATGAAACAACGGTGATAATCGTTATTGCTATCTTGTAACGTTTAATGTATATCAGTGTCGTGCAAAAAAAAAAAAAAAAAAAATTGAGCAGCTGAGCTCCTCGGTGTTGTGGGTATACATACTCGTTCCTAGCAACTCGTATGACAATTACTACTCGAATACACTACTCATAACATTGCATTGAAACTTTACTCTACGTACTTCAAAGATAAATAAATACATTCTGTCCAATCTCAACATTGCTGGCGTTCGATTGTTTTCTTTATCCACCCTCTCTAGGTAAGATGCGAATTCTCTTCTTTTTTTTTTTTTTTTAATTCGAGGATATAGAAACTAAAAGAATACGAGGCATCTGTATTTGAGGATCTGCAATATAATTCTTTATTTTTCCAGCATTGATGAGATGAGCAAGAGGAGATACGGAATAAGAAAAATCAATACAAAAGAAGCAATTACTTTATTACTTTCTCAACGATTTCATACAAATTTCAGATATTTTTTTTTACAATTTCACATTTAATATACCTCGCGTTTTGGACTGTGCACTTTCAATGTACGTTCTTAGATACGTTCCGATACATCAAGCAACAATAGCGTGTATCGCTATTCTTGTCAATATTCGCTTCAATATGTCATGGTACGGAGTATTTTAAATCTATTTAATCTCTGAACAAACGCCACCAGTTTTATTGTACACGAACTCTTTATTCCTTTTCCACCCTTGTTCCCACTTTTTTTTTTATCTCGCCCCCTTTTCTCTCTCGCTCGTATTCGTTGAAACGCATCTTTCACGTGTTCGCGCATAGAATTTCACGCAACACTAAATACCATTGGAGAATAGAACAACCAAAAGATAGGTGCGATGCTGAGAAATATCCCGTTGCAACTTCTCTTCGTAACAATGCTAATAATTATATAGCAGAAGCTGCCTTACAATCGATTGAAACATCATCGTTTGATTTCTTCGACAGAAAATATGAGATTCGTTATTATTCGTCATCGCTATTGCTGCACGTCGAGCATATGCTTTCTCTTTCCCGGTATTTTTTTATTGCAAAACAACAAAAACCAAAACGTGTACCACTTCGCTACAAACAGTTTCATGTGATCCAGTCTATATTGGTTTTCGTCCCTTTTTTTCTTTTTTTTTGTATGCTTTTTTAATATTTTTTTTTTTTTTTAATGTTTTCTTTGCTTTCCTTTTATTCCGGCTGAAATCCATTCAAGATTCGACAAAAATCGGTACCGCGATGCAATTCGAGTGTTGCGTCAAAACTGTACGAATCTTTTTTTTAACGACGTAAGAATCCATTTGTATCAATTGCTGTAAAACATTATTCTTTTGTTCGTTTTGTAAACAGTCGATTATCGATCACAATTTCTAATGCTTTTGAAACTGTGCAAGTTTTTTCAATTGACGATCTGGAGGATTAATAATTGTTATAATTGCGATATTATACTGCAATTGCACAACAAACTATAATTTTGATTATTGACAAACTTAAAATATTAAAAAATATTTTAAGACTTTATAGTGACACTATTATCTGTGGTATGATTTTTCTATATTTTATTTCCCTTTCTTTGAAGAGATGATTTGTCCTTATTCGCGATATAGTATTAAAACACTTTCTGAACAGATAAAAGTATGTAACGCTTACGACATTGGTCTGATTATGGAGCAAGTAGTTTCAGCGCTCTTGTGGCCAGACACGACATATTCTACTGGAGAATTCACTTTTTTATTCTACCGGAGAATTCACACTTGTTTCTGTTTCTGCTGAGAACAAGAATAAGAATTAAACGAATCATAAGTGTACCTCTTTAAAAGAGACAATATTCAATATTAAACAAATATGTAGCTTAAACGTTCAAATCAAGCTTAAAAATTGAAGATAATTTAACTTCTTTATTTCTATTTCTATTTGTACTTTTCATGTTTTTTTCATTCTACAATTTTTATTCTCGTAAAACAAATTTATTTTCGTTGACTTGCATAGTTTTAAAAACACCAAGGTGGCAGCAGTTACTGAATCACCTTGTACAAAGTTTATTCAGCAAACTAATGGACGGAAATGAAAGAGAAGATAAACTGCATAATTCAATTGTACTAGATTGTTTCCATTGTTACTGAACCGAGCCAAAGTTTGTTTGCGTTAAATAATCTGCTGGAATAAGCAGCGCTTATAATAATTAAACTAATATTTATTTAAAAGTCGAAGAATACGTTTCGTCATCTTTTAAAATGTTAAAAATTCTATTTAAAAAGAAATTCTCTCCTGAATTAAAGGATTAAATGCTACGACAGAAAAGACAACGAGCAATAATTACAATTTATAGAAACAATCAAATCTTTTCAATTAACTGGCAAATTGATACAGTTTACCCAATATTTTTTATTTTCT